GTAATGAAGTCTGAAACCAAGCCTGTAGTGTAGGCTGGACTACAGTCCTGCCTTAATGGAGACTGAAAGGCGCGCTAACCTTTTCAAAATGCTCAGTCCATTTGCATCCCTCCAGTAACTGCAGTCAAGTAGGGTAGGTCAAAAATGTGACCTGCCGTGCTTATAATGCAGTTATAATGGTTACAATTTCCTCCTTGGCTATCATTTCATCGGGATGCCAGACATCTGCCTTTTTAAAAGCGCCATCCAACAGTCAGGGCGAAATCCACATTTGCAATAGTAACACACACGATTTCAAGAGCTCTTTGGACCAGGTCACTGAGGATGTTCATGCATAAACAAGGAAATAATAAAGTGGAGCTGAGTTTATTTCAGGCCCATTAAAAATACAGGAGAAATCATCATTTCTTTCCAGGCCCCCAGAGAGGGGAACACACGCCATGGTGGGTAAAATGAGAAAAAATAAAAGAGAATCGTCAGTGCCCTGTTACTCTTTTCCTTTCTGTGGGAGTTTAGAGGGGCATGCTCGGTTATTTAAACTTTCAAATGTTTCCTGGCGTTCATGCAGATGCTGTCATTTGTAGTGGGCCCACGTTTCAGACCTGCTGTCTTAGAAATAAAATATAATACTCGGTACTTCCAGACGACGCACGTTTCATCTAAGGATCTGCGAGCACATCTCAAAGGTGGATGAGAATGATTTGTCCTCGTCTGACAGATGAGGTAAATGAGACAGAGTGAACTTAAATGCCTAGTCCAAGGTCAGACAGTGAAGACTGGCATCAGCTCAAGTCTCCGAACTCGTATGATACGTCATTTGTTTTCTGTAGCAACATTGTGGGCCAACCCAGAAATCCTGAACTCTGGGAAAACAACTCAACTGGGAGTTATGCCCGAGAAAGAACTTTGGGATCTGTCCCACAGAGTTTTCATAAGCTTTACAACTCTTCTTCTTTCTCCTGGAGGCAGCAGGGAAGCTACCATTCTGATTTTGTGAGATCACATTGACTTCTGTGGCTATTTCTGCATCACTCGTACAGAAGTGTGTAGAATTGTGACCATTGCTGGTCAAGCAGAATGAGATTCTGGGTTAGAACAAAGCAAAGAATTTATAATTCATTCAATGAAGGGAACCTCTTTTAATGGTGTCAGAGGTGTAAGTCTGTAACTTTAAAAAACGAGTAGTCCTGTGGCACCTTAGGGCATGGCTACACTAGGAAATTATTTTGAAATAACTAAATTCAAAATAACTCCTGAAATAACTATTTTGAAATTAGCGTTACTCCCTGAGGAAAACAGGAGTACAGATTTCAAAATACAGGTGGCGCCCGACTTGTAATGCGATCGGTTTCTGGGGGAGCGTCACAAGTCGGGGGTGTCGTAACTTGAACCTACATTTATGGTAGATACTGTGTGCCACTATTAATGTGGGCTGAGGACATAAGTCAGGGGGGTTTGGCCCCTTCCGCATTTACAAAAATGGTTGTAAGTGTGGGGGGTCATTATTCGGGCCATTGTAAAGTGAGAGTTTCCTGTAATCAGCCCGTTATTTTGAAAAATCAAGCTTGGTAGTGGGGATGCCCCGCTTGTTATTTCAAAATAAGGGAGGTTATTTCAAAATAGCCCTGGTCTACACGAGGGAGTTAACATGCCACAGGACCACTTACTCTTTTAATGGATCGAGGGATATTCAAGCACACTTAGCATTTCCTCTAGTTCACACATACTCAAGTTTATTTCATTGATACCTTTTTTTATTTTATAGCTTAATTTTCAAAGTTTCACATGGGTGTCTTAATTAGCATCAGTCAGATAAATCCCACTCGCAGAAGATCCACTAAATCGAATGCTAGCAGATCGACCTCCGGAGCGCCGATCTTCTCGTAAGTGAAGACATGCCCTGCCTGACACCAGCTGGGGATCTCTCCCTCTGAGTTCTACACCGAGTGGCTGTTTCCAGATATGACCTTAACAACAGATTTGCTGTGTGCTTCACAGAGACATTAGAAGTCCCGTTGCAATAGTCTTAAGGAAAGGGTCCGGCACTGAGTCCTCATTCATACGTGTGCCAAATATGCAGTAGACTACAGCCCACCACCCCAGCTGTGACTGCCATGCAGCAGCTGGTTAAGTAATTGCTGCAGGTGGGATTTCCATGAGCTGTCTGAAAAGGTCTTACTCTCCTCTTGTCCAAAGCAACGCTCAACCTCCCACTGACTTCTGAGGGAGCAGAGGCAGAGCACTGCGGAAAGTTGCACCCTGGCTGTACATGGTAGCTTGCTTTTGGAGCCTGATGGCTGAAAGGTACTCTATTAATTTGGGGTATGCTACAGACCGCAAGCTGTTCTGCAAACCTGTTCTGTTCCTACTGAAGTCAAGGAAGCCTTTCAGACCATCTCCAATGGGAGCAGTAGACAAGCTAAAAGGAACAACAGAAGTGCTGTTGCTGTTATTTCTTTTGTACAGATTTTACTGTTGGTGTGGTTTGGGCAGCTGATGAATTTTCCCCTTTAAACTCTTCTGGAAATAGTAGCCCTGCACAGTTGCCTAGGTGAGACACTATGGATACTGATGGCTCATCCTGAGAGGTCATTTCCACCCGGAGCATTACATTTAGAATGCTTCTTTGGAATCAGCTGCCACTGGGAAATCAATACTATGTGCTCTGTGGCTGCTCCTGGGGAGAAACTCTGGGATCGCTCTAGAGACTGGATGTCCTACGTGTGTGAGTTTCCAAATTTGTGGAACAACATAAGTATGTTTTCCTTGATGGTTCGATTGTTATTTTAATTTGAACTCATATGGGAGCATGATCTGGCAGCATTCCAGATAGATACTACCAGGAGAAGTCAGATGCAAGGGGAATGCTAGGCCCCATTAATTCATCTATAGTATTTCATCCAAAAATCAACGTTAAGGTTGCAAAATTGAACATTCAGAAGTTAGGAAATTGCACAGATCACCTTCATTTTGCCAGTCTAACTTGTCCTCCCCAGCGTGCATTGAAATATAGATCATAAATAATGATGTAACCACATGCTATTTTCAGGCCATTCGGATAGTCCCAGTGAGATTCCAGTTCATGACTTCTGTCAGATAAATTCAAAATCAACCAAATGGAAGGATCCAATTGGTTTCCATTGCTGGTTTCTTTTGGGTTCCTTCGGTGGGGAGGGGACCTGAAAAGGCCAATGCTAAGGCTCCCATGTTGCAAACGCTGTTCTTATTTATTTTTTCCATGGAAGAATTGAAAATGGCATATTTAAGCATGGACAAAAACCTGTGAGCTCCAGCAATAGGGCCAAATCCGGCCACCTAACTCCATTGAAATCAATGGGCTCAGTGTGGTTCCATGTGCTTAGCCCCCGGGCTTTGTTTATATGATGTGCTGGTACATGTGTCACGCTACATAAGTGAATTGAGAACAAAAACCGTTTTAACATTTTATCTAGATTCACTTTCCTTCAGAATCCCCACCCCCACCTCCCCACACAAACTCTCACACCGCACACCTACTCCCCCGCACACATACCACGGTCACAACATGACACCTGCTCATTTAATGTGGAGTTTTATGCAGAGGTTATAGGTTTGATTAGAAAATACGCTGTGGTAATTAAAGAGGGGCCAACCCGAACCCCAGCGCCAAACACCCTAGAACTTTGGGAAGTTCCAGTCGGACTCACCTCATGCGAATGGTTTTAAATGACAGGTTGGTCAGATCATACCCCTGATGAAGACGACAGTTCCAAAGCAAGATTAGACTTTACTGCACGATCCAGGATAAAGCAGTATGGGGGATTAGTCCGTGAGGCCTACGCAATGTGGGTGTGAAACACTATCAAATCAGAATTCCTCTGGGCTGGGACACTGGTGGGGATATGTAACCCCAGTGCACAAGGGTAGGTTCTGATACGGGGCAATCTGAGCGCAAACCAGCCCACACAAACACAAACATATTACCTGCCCTTCCAAAAGGCTTCTAGCTTTGTGGCCAGGTTTCAAAGTGCAAGAGAAACTTACACCCCAAAGCCGCACATCCTACCGCCTTTCTCAAGAGTGTAGTTCTTGAAGCACGCTTCTCATTTGCTTTCTCTTGTGCTCTTGTTATAGGGCAATCCATTGTACTTCCAATCTGCCAGAAATGTTACAGTGAACATTCTCAATGAGAAGACTAAAGTCCTTACGCGGCTTGTAACAGGTAAGGAAGAGAAAACGCCGGAGGAAAGAGTTAAGAGGATGTCAATGGCCCTTGTGCCGCGGGGTCATTTGGTATCATGAAGCACCACAGAGGAAGGCAGATAAGGCTTCCAGTGAAGTACAAGCTAAAAAGATAGCTCCGCTTTGGAGAAACAAACGCTAAGAACGTTAGCGTTGTGCTGGAGAAGAGGCCGGCTGCATATTTGTAATAAGGAAGCAGAAAATCTTTTCCACTTGAACGTCAGGCCAGAGACAAAAGGTTAGTTTTGTGAGGCCGGGGCAGGAGGAGATTATTCAATCTGGCAGTTCATTGGTAACGGGCACAAGATTGTCCCAAGATACTTTTCGCTTGCCTAAGATCTCTCGAGCGCCGCTGGTTAGCAGCAGCTGAGCACAGACACTCTGCAGTTCCAAACTCACAGCCCCATCTGCTGCTAAAGAGCCCTTCTCCTCACAAGCATTAGCATTAGCATCAGGTCTAATGGGGAGGCCGATGTTTCCGAAAGGCACGGCACGGGTGTGAACTGGAGAGCCGGTGTGATCTGTGTCAAGAGAGGTGGCAGGGAAAGTGCTTAGCATCTCAAAAGAGCAGCCGACTGCCAGGGGAGAGCCGTGCCGCCGTCTGGCTGCACCAGAAATCCATAAACATGTTGTTTCTCCATGCGTTTGGATTGTCTGGCAGGCTTATAAAACATCTCGCCTGCAGTCACAGGGCTAAATAATTAAACAGCCTCCGCGACCAGTGATGTAAGGACCATGCGTGAACGTTGCCTTGAGACGGGAAAGACACGCCACCCAGAGCCCCCAGATTGTGCCATTAGAAAGGAAGTTGTTCGCTTTGGGAATCATTTGCCATTTCTTTGCTGTGCAATCTCTGCCTCCCTGGTGTGACTCTGTTTTGAGAACGCTTGGAAGTGGGCAGATGGCTGGTAGAAGTTACAGCAGCTCTGCTGCACACGTGTGTGTGCACATGCCAAACACGCCCCCTGCCGGCACAGAAACTAGCCCCAACCTGGCAAACGGGTTGGTGAAGGCCTCTGAGGCTGACTCTTGGAAAACCTTAGCGCTGCCTGCGCTTCGCTTGCAGTGCCAGGCAAGCCTTTGCCACCGTAAATACCCAAATGCTTGTATTTTGATGTCTGAAGGCTGCAGTAAACACCTACCTGGTGCACTGGGCATCTTTGCATAAAGTCATAGTAAATTCTGTGGTACCACTTATTATGACTTAACCTGAAAATCTCCTGCTCCCTAACCTAAAAACCAACTCCTGAAGACAGCAGTCGGAATAATCTAGTATAGTCCCACCTCTGTGTCCCTCCCTCGCAGCTGGGAATGGGGCGACGGGGGAGGAGAACTTGCCTGTTCTGTTCATTCCTTCAGATGCACCACTGTGGGAAGACAGGATATGGGGCTAGATGGACCCAGTGGGTCTGACAGCCACCCTGGGCCCTGGGGCAAGGTGTGTGTGTGGGGGAGAGGGGACAGGCTCTGCGCCCCTGAAGGAGCAAGGCCTCAGGTGAAAGAGGCAGTGGCAGCCAGCCCTCAGCACTGCCCGGACCGTGGCGCCCCTCTCCCAGCCCTCAGCACTGCCCGGACCGTGGCGCCCCTCTCCCAGCCCTCAGCACTGCCCGGACCGTGGCGCCCCTCTCCCAGCCCTCAGCACTGCCCGGACCGTGGCGCCCCTCTCCCAGCCCTCAGCACTGCCCGGACCGTGGCGCCCCTCTCCCAGCCCTCAGCACTGCCCGGACCGTGGCGCCCCTCTCCCAGCCCTCAGCACTGCCCGGACCGTGGCGCCCCTCTCCCAGCCCTCAGCACTGCCCGGACCGTGGCGCCCCTCCACCCGGCCCTCAACACTGCCCAGACCGTGGCGCCCCTCCCCCAGCCCTCAGCACTGCCTGGACCGTGGCACCCCTCCCCCCGCCCTCAGCCATGCCCGTGGTGTAGCGGCACTTCGGCGGCAATTTAAAAGGGGTCCAGTCTCCGGCCACCATCGCTGTCACAATAACAGCAGCGGCTGCTGGGAGATCTGGGCCCCTTTGAATTGCTCGGCCCCGGGGCAACTCCCACCTTTGTCCCTCCCTCTCCCCCACCCGCCATCAGTGGGCCTGGAGGGACCTTTGGCCTGGTCTAGTACAGTCATGCTTATGTTTTCACCAGCTTCCCCTTACGCGACTCCGAGGAACGCTGGGCTCACATAGCGTGTCTCTCCTAGGAGCTCTCCAGTGAGAAATAGGGAAGAGAATTCCACAAGTGAGAATCCCTCCCAGAGAGCCCCCTGCCGGCTGCTCCCTGCTCTGTAAATGGAGGGATTCCCGGTGGAAGCGACTCTGCTGCCGACCGGCTGGCAGCACCGCTCCCGGGAGATTAGCGAGCAGGTTGCGGCATCCCGCACCAGAGCCCGCGGGGCTGACGACGGCGTCCCGCCTCGCGCATGTTGCGTAGGAGAGGAGGGTAGAGAAATCCGCGCTCCAAGCTGCCAACCCTTGTGAGATTTTCTCCGGAGGGTTTGCAGGATCCTTTAGTGTTTCTGCAGAATTAAACACCTGCTGCCTTCTGCACCCAGTGGTGTGCACGCAGTTAGCAGTGTGTGTACTCCGTCGGCATTGGCGTGCACTACGTCCCGCCTCGCGCATGTTGCGTAGGAGAGGAGGGTAGAGAAATCCGCGCTCCAAGCTGCCAACCCTTGTGAGATTTTCTCCGGAGGGTTTGCAGGATCCTTTAGTGTTTCTGCAGAATTAAACACCTGCTGCCTTCTGCACCCAGTGGTGTGCACGCAGTTAGCAGTGTGTGTACTCCGTCGGCATTGGCGTGCACTAATGCTCATGCACAGAAACTCCCTCTAAGCAGCAGCCTATTATAGGCTGCACAGGTGCTCTGGGCTGCAGCAGGGAGAAGTGCCTCTCCCTCCACCCCCCCAGACTCCAGCCCAGCCTCGGACTTATCACAGATCGGGGAGAGGTGTCCCTCCTCCAGCCCCAGACCTGCCTCGGCTGGGAGAGAGGCACTTATCTTGGGGCCCCAGCTCCAAGCTATTACTTTTGAATTGGAGAATGTCAGATACTAGCATACGTTTATTCAGGGTAAGTTTGATGTACAGGTTGTACCTCCCTTCACAGGGACTCTCTGGTCCAGCAACATCCATAGTCCATCTGGCAGGACCACGGATGTCCTGGACCACAGAGCCCAGGTATAGGGAGACGGGCTAGGGAGCAGGAGCGGTGGGGGAAGAGGCAACTGAGCTGGGAGCCCAGTGGGGGGGGAGGGTGTGGAGGGGCAAGCGGTGCAGCACGGAGTTCTGGCCCACACGGCAAGGAGGGTACAGCTCTGGGCGCTTGAGGACAGCCAGCAGCAGCCAGGGAGAACTATCTCCAGATGTGGAGCTCTGACCCTAGCAGCAGCTACAGCCAGGCAGGCAGCAGCAGGGCCAGGCTGGTGCCCTGGCTGGCGACAACAGGGCAGCCCGGGCCATGTTGGAAGGACCAGCAAATCCCCTTGCTCAGGACCGGTCAGGTCCCGAGGGTGCCAGACAAGGGAGGTACAAGGGAGAGTCAAACAGAGCACAGGCGGATGTTGTACTTGCACCCTGTCCTGCTTGTCATGTGCACTCCCCTTGCTAACACACTCAGATGAGGTCCAGGAACACTCTGCTACACTCACCTTGCAGAAATCTTGGTTCCGTGTTCAGTGGTGCCGATGCACTCACAAGAGGCCCAGTAACATTCTTTGCTACTTTGTGCCTGGGTCTTCCTTTAGCAAAAGCTCCCAGTTGTGCCAAGTGGCTTGGCAGTTTTGAGATGTCAACAAATGCTCATCGAGGTGTGGGAAGAAATCATAGTGATGGGCTTAAGGCAGTCTGTAATATTAGAGAGAACATCATGGCACTCCGCTTTCCGAATGACAAGCCACCCTCCCAGGAGGAGAAGTCGCACTGAACAGATTGTAGATCACGCAGGCTGAGTGATTGGTATAACCCACCGTTTGGGTTGATCACATTCAAGAAAGTGCTGTATGGTTTTCTTCATCCTAGCAACAGAAAACAGAGGCTAAATCTTTTCTCCTGTTGTAGGTCCCCAAGCAGTGGAAGCACACAGCCAAAAATTCGAGGTGAAAACCCTCTCTGGAAAATTACTGTTTTCGGCCGATGACAATGAAGTGGTCGTGGGAGCAGAGAGACTCAGAGTTTTAGGTAACAGCCCTTTGACAAATCAACTGTTTTCAAACTGATCTGATCGTTTCTGAAAGTTTTCCAAGGATTTGGTTCAACCAGGTGTGAACTCAACACCAAGGCCAGGTCTACACAAGACCCGGCAGTTCGGCTTAAGGTATGCAACTGAAGCCATGTAGAATATTTAGTTGGAGTAGGCTTACCTTAAGTGAGCTTAGTGGTGTCCCCATAGCAGGAGGCCAATGGGAGCAAACATTCCCGTTGCCTTCCTTTATTCCTGGCAAGAGCAGAAAGACACCAACAGGGGCACTCTGAGTTTGATTTAGTGAGTCTTAACTAGACTCACTCAATCAAACTCTGGAAGATCGATCGTGGCAGTGTCAATCTTCCACAGAGTGAAGACGTGGGCCAAGACTCCACTTGATGTAGGTGCGGGATTGGATCAGGCATGGCCTGCTCCTGGGGTTGGTCATGGGGCTCATTGCCTTGCACCTACCTCCTTGCTTTGCATGAGCCTGACTGCGACCATTGATGGCTGTTTGCCAGCCTTCCTAGTAACTTAGGGTATGTCTACACTACCCCGCTAGTTCGAACTAGCGGGGTAGTGTAGACATACCCTCAGATGCTAGTTTATTTTATGGCCTCTTTTTGTTTTACATTTTCTTAGATTCCCTTACCTATATTCTGTGATAAATTGGATGGGTGGGGATATAGTTATGTGTTGTTAAATTCACTGTGAATTTAGTGTAGAGAAATCCAGGGGGAAACTAAAGTGATGAAATGTATATGTCCAGGTGCAAGTGGTACATTATACAACTTTAAACTCTCCTTTTACTCATTTATAGTCACATCAGAGTCCGTCTTGTGCAACCACACTGAGTAGTACCAGAGCATAAGGCACCCCTCTTACATCAAAGAGCCAGGTACCTACAGAAGTGAGGAAGAAAAAGCATCCTGCATGACTCCCAGTCCTGTGCAGGTGTACTGAGAATGAGTAGAATATTGGCTTTGTCTTCAGCAATGCATAGAGCGCTGCAATCCAGTTTCCATGAAGAAGTAAATAGCTCGTTTGGGCAGTCTTAGCAGAGAGGCCAGTCAGTGGTTTTGGAGGCTGGTTTACCCACACAATCCTTTGGGTCCAAGATGAAGGATGGTGATGGAGCAGTTTGGGGGGAGCTTTTATGGCCACGATCACTGTCCTGGGGATAAACAACGGGCTCCTGTTCGTCCGGCCCCTTTCCCCAACACGAGATTCATTCTAAAGCAGTAAGAGTTTTAGAAGGACTGCTGTCCACATCTTTCTTTAGCGCCCACACTGATTTCCTTGATATTCTCCGAGCCTTTGTCTTACGGGACCTAACTTTTTCTTTAATATCCATATGGGAGCATGGTGTGTCATGGAGCCCAGTCCAGCTTTTTTGCTGGCACGGCCTAATCTGCTAGACCCAATAAGGGACCCACCCCCTGGGCAGGCAGCCAGACTCTCCACTGTTGTCCTCCACCAGAGCACTCCAGGGATTCAAGGTGGACCAGGGTAACTTGATCTCCCACCGCACTGCGTAGGAGTCCTCCTGGCAGGATCCTCTGGCGGAAGCCACAGAACTGGTGCATCCCTCAGCAGCTCCTTCATTTACTTGGAGGGCTGCCCTTGTCCAGACGAGTCCCTCCTGTATAAATTAGTTTGTCTCTTTAGGCCCCTGCGGCCTGGATCAGGTAGGTCCACAGAGTTTCCTGCCCAAGGTGCTTTTGTCAGAGTTTATGCTGGGTGTAAACTGGACACAGGAGGTGGGAGGCATGAGGAACTTTTGTGTTTATTTCGGGTAGGTGGAAAAGAGACTCTTGAACAGGGTTCTCTATGAGCTGAGCGCATTTGTGGCCACCCAGGAGGGATCCAGGTGCTGCCCAGATGATGAGCAGAGCTCCCTCAGCTGTCAGCGTGTATTTCTATTGGTGGTGCACTCCCACACATGCTTTGGTGCACGGTAACAACATTTAATCCCATGGCTTGCTCTTGCACCCTCCCTCCTGGCCAGACACCCTACCCCCAGTCTACTCTGGTTGGTACCACCGTTGCGTCTGCACCCTCCCTTGGACACACACCACTGCACCCTCCCTTGCTCCTCCTTCCTTCCCCAGACCAGTCATCCTACTCCCAGCCTGCTTCTGCACCCTACTTCCCCACTCAGACCTTGCAACCTCTCCCACTTCTGCACCCTCCCTGCCTCCCAGATCCTGCACCCCATCCCACTCGCTGGCAGCCCTGTCCTGCACACTGAACTCCGCATTTTTGTCCCCACCCCAGAGCCTAAGTGGGTCCATAAAATCCACTAACTGTGGAACTCCAGAAAACTAAATCTGGCCTATGGGAAGCCCTGAACTTCAGTCTTCCCTGTCCCTTCTCTTGCCCTCATCCCAGAGAGCTGAAGAGGAGTGAGGTGTTTCAGTCGGGGGCCACATCAGTGAGGGTTGGGGACTTTTGGAAGAGTTTTTTTGCTTCTCACTTGTGTGGTCCCCAACTGATTTTTCTGTGGGTCAGTGGCTCCCGACACAAAAAAGGTTCCGTACCCCTGCCACAAATAATGAAAACATTGAAACCTTTGGTGTTGGTCATAAATTAATATTTACTGTATTTAAAATTAGTGTTGATAAACTAACATGACAAAGTTAAAACGCTCAAGCTGTTTATTAATTCAAATTAAACCAGTCTCCCTAGTTGCAACACTAGCAAAATGGCTCGGGTGTATTTATGTAATTAATGGTCAGTTTCCATTAGCAACTGGTAGTCCATGGAAAGGTTTCCATTGAGCCAGGTGGTCCGTGGGCCAAAAAGTTTGAAGACTAGATGATCATGATTGTCCCTTCTGGGCTTAGAGTCTACGGACACGTCTATACTTACCGGAAGGTCAATGCTCCAGGGGTTGATCTTCTGGCATTTGGTTTAGGAGGTCTAGTATAGACCCGTAAATCAAACACTGAAGGCAGCCCCTGCCAACATCCAGTCCTCCTGAGGGAAGCCAATGGGAGCATGTGTCCCCGTCAGCCACCTGCACCATCACAGCATGGCTCAAGGTAAGCTGGCTCCAGCTACGCATTTTACGTCGCTGGAGTTGCGTACCTAAAGCCAACCTTCCATGTCCAATGTAGACCTGGCTTATGAGTCTAAATCTGTTGCCTGCTACTACAGTGCTTTGTGTTTGGTTATATGACACTTGCCAAAGAGCATTGGGTGGAGGGTGTTTTTAATTGAGAAAAAAAGAGCATGTAAGTGTTTAAAAAATAAAACAACCAACATATCTGTGTGTGATATCTACCGATATCTATCATTTTCTGTATGGAATATCGATCTATCTATCTATCTACCTATCTGTCTACCTATCATGTTGGTTTTGTACTTGGGGCTCTTCAGACTTCATGGTGTTTCGGGTTTTTTGTTTTTGTTTTTTTTTAAATGTAAAAATTGGCCATTAAAGCAAATTTCCAGAGTTTCAGGGCAATAGAATATATACCACTAAATGAGGCTCTTAACACGTTTCCTGTTTGCCACTGCACTTTTCAGAGAGATTTGATCAAATCAGTTCTTGTGATTTTGGGAGAGGATCAGTCTAAGTCTTCTCCTGGGGATCTCAGAGCAGAAGGATATTTTAGACCATTTTTCTTGGTCAAACGAAATGATAATTAGCTGATTAAAAAGCCAGAGTATTCCACAGGTTGGGAATGCGCCTTTTCAGATGATATAGCTCAAAAAATAATTGTCTGTCATTTATTTGAATTGCTCTGGAGGAGCCACCAGTAGTTTTAGATGCATCCCTTTGAGTTTATGCCTCATTTTAGTCCCGGAAACATGAGGCGCAGGGAGCTTCCTAATGCTAGAATGTGTTTTTATTTATGTTTGCCGCAGAATCTCTCACCAGGTTTTATCAGGCTTAGGCAGAGACATGAGAGAAGAAAAGATATGGTGACAGGAGAATTGAGGTTATACTGTACGATATTTCAGTAACCTTGAGCCGCAACATTTTCAAAGCTTGTGTTGGGCTTTGATTCTCTCCTTCCCCTCCCCCCATTTCTGTAACCTAACCGTATCTCAAAAAGTGGTTGCCACAGCTGCTTCCTATGCCAGGCGATGTTTTACAGAATGAGGAACACTAGTCTAGAGTTGCAGTGTGGGAGTTCTAGATTGGATATTAGCAAAACTACTTCATTGGAATGGTTGCCTACAGAAGTACGGGAATGGGTTGCCTAGGGAAGTGGTAGATTCTCCATTCTGAGAGGTTTTCAAGTCCCTGCTTTACAAAGCCCTGGCTGGGATGATTTGATTGGGGTGAGTCCTACTTTGAGCTGGAGGTTGCACTCGACCTTCTGAGGTATCTGTATTCTTGTTTGGATTTGAGGGTCAGGATCCTGGGGTGGAGACAGACAGGAGTAGTGGCAGGAACATCAGAGCTGTTGTTGGAGTCAGGCTGAGGGTCAAAGCTGGAGTCTTGAGTTGGGAGTCAAGCCGAGGGAAAGAACCAGACATGGGATCAAGAACTGAAGTTCAGGGCTTCCCATAGGCCAGATTTAGTTTTCTGGAGTGAGGGCAAAATCAGGTGTCCGTTTCAAAGTGCTGGAGCTCCAGGGCTCTATGGGGAGTCTGGATCCAAGTCAGAGCCGAGGTCGGTTCCAAAAGTTCAAAGACAGAGAAACAGGACAGTGAGAACAGCTAAGTAGGAACTTCCATTGTTGCTGGGACACTTCTAGGACCCAGCCCTGGATCACTAAGTTATTGTCCATCGGATCCCTTGAGCCTGAATTCACCGTAGCATGCAACCTCAGCAGACTGTGGATTACAAGGGGGGTTGGCCATGTGACGATGTCGGTTACCCGGCAGCCCTGCCTCCCAAGGTTCAAGACCCAGTGATGTTTACTTCACCCTCTTCTCTAGGAGTGCCCCCACCAAGACGGTTTTGTCTGATTGGGCTGCATGGAAAGAAGCCGTGAGGATGGATTCATGGACCTGGGGCACCAGTTCTTAGGATCACTCT